ACACTTGCCTGGTCTATTTAATTTCTTGTGGGACCCTTATTTAGAAACAATCGTCTCTGTATAGAAACCAACTCTTCTTTAACCGTTAGGTTGCAGTGCTGCCAGGTAAGCCAGTGTGGCAAGAAAACATATATCGCAAGTGTTTGGGTCTGAGAATTGGTCTGGAAACGGATTTCCTTTGCCCTTCGTTTGTATGTAGTGGAAGACCCGTCTCCTCTTCTGTCTTTTTAGGGAGGCTGGGGCTGAAGAAATAAGGTTCTTGATTTAGTAGGAGATTTTCCTTATATTTCAGATGAAAATAAAGCAGCAGAGATGGTGCAGTGGGTTAGCCATAGCTACGTGCTGCAAAACAGAGCACCATGAAGTCGCTTGTTTAGAAAACTGGATGCTATCTGTACTTTCATTATAAACAAGTCTTGTTCGTTAGCTGGGAAAGAAACTCCAAACACTGTCCAGACCAGAACAAACTTGTATCTCTGATCTATTCAAATAGGAGCCTTTGCCAGGAGAGTTTGCAGTAGATTAAGGTATTTTTTCCTGCAGGGAGGAATGTGCTTGCTGTGGTCTTTAATAAATCCTTTACAACAGAGATACCTTAGAGCCCATTATCTAACCAGATAGGCAGGTCACAGCTACTTGGTTAATGCAGCAGATGAAAGGGCTGGGGAATTGTCCCAATTCCTGAGTACATATTGGGTTTCTCGAGGAGGCTGTGTGTATTCTGGCATGGTAGGGACGCTGACCCAGCCGATTCCGGGGCAGGGACTGTCTCTTGGTATCAGCTCTCTCCATCAGTTTTATTGATGGAGCCCGTTTGCATACCTTATCGGCAGGATTTTGCCATGTACCAGCATTTCTGGCCTCTGTTTCTGCTGCCTTTTGAGCATGTGAAAACCTGCTTTTTAATGTTTCTGAAGCAAAGAGAGGATATATTCTTCAGAGCCTGTTTTTACCATGCAAGCTCTGCACTCTCCATCCAACTCGCCGTCCCTTCTCCCCCTAAGTGACGGGGGAGACTCGATCAGGTAGAAATGCAGATTTTCCTTCAGAATTGCATGCAACTGGAGGTCTCCCTGGCATGCAGGGAGAGCCGGTGCCCGGGGCTGAGCCGCCATAGCTTGCGGTGCAGTGCCTCAGATGGGCTCCAAGCTCGTGCTCACTTGTGGAGCACATCCAGCTCCACAGTGCTGCTCAGTCTTCGTGGCGAGGTGAGGTCAGCGCCTCCTGCCCTGTCTCCCATCCTTCCTCGGCAGGGAGAGAAGTGACTTCTCAGGCCTCGTTTGGTCCTGGTGAACGAAGGGGTGATGTTCAGGCTGGCAGGTGTGCAGCTGCCGCGTGAGCAGGTAGCAGCTCTCAGCGGTAAGCGATTTACAGGTGAACTGGAAAACTGTGCCCTTTAAGGAGTTGCAGGGCAATGCCCCTGGAAAATAACATAATATGGCCTGTGGCCAGGGTGAAGCTGGAACTGAGAAGAGGATTCATCACAAAGACATCAGCTCCAGCTGTAGTGGAGCACACAGACTCCTGGCTGTGGCGTTTGCCACCTGCCTTCGGTGGCATATTCATGCTGGCTCAGGCAGCCAGAGCGGCTGTGCTTTGTGCTGCTTTCAGGAAGAAAATACAGACTGATCTGGATGGGGAATGGTGAAAGAGCTCTGAACCAGGTGAGTAAGGACAGATGGTCTTTACCGTGGGTGCCAAGCTGATGTGGAGGTGTGGATGTCAGTCCAAATGACTCCAGCTGGGGCAAGCAGCTTCTGCCCAGGGTTGGAAATCGCAGGATGCCTCACTCAAGGGACAGTAATGTGTGAGCTCTTCACAAGAGGTCTTCAGGCTGTTGGCACCAAGAAGCACGAGCTCCTGCTGAGGAACGGAGACTGTACTGCCCGCATTGCCATGACACTCTACAAATTTTTGAATTAGTTAAAAAAAAAAAAAAAGCAAAGTCATGTGAACAGAAGTGTCTGCAAATAACCTCTGGACACAGCTATGTGGAGGGGTACCAAATGGCCCATCTAGGACAAGCACATGGGTTCCCAGGTGCTCGCAGCAGCACCGAGCTGTGGATGTGGCACCAGGGTCCCAGCACGCTCTGCTGGAAACCAGACTCCAGGGCAAGCTTTCATGCCATCCCCATCAGTGGCAGTGACCATTGCTGGCTCCTGCCTGTGACTTGTTTTGTAAAAATCCTGGTAAGATCAGAGATGGTAAGGCAGAAGCTGGGGGAGGCAGGTTTTTGCACCTGGTCTGGGTGCTTTGATTTGCAGTTCATGCTCCATGCGGCGGAGAGAAGGTGTCATCTGATGTCTCCTCTCTGCTTGTCCCCAGAGATCACGCTGGGACCAGACTGCTGGGACAAGCTAAGGTGGGTGCTGACATTTGGGCAGCATCTCAACCCCTCGGTACTGGGTATGCTCCCAGCACGCACAGATGTCTGTTGGGGATTACACACAGCAGAGAGTCTGCAGGACTGGGTCTTCCGAGACTGCTTACTCCGTGCTTTAAAAAAGCACAACAGCTACTCATTTAATTTAACATAATGCCTGAAACAAGGACAAAAGCGAACCCAGTGCATCTCTCTCGGCCTCATGCGGGTCCCTCTGAGGCTTACAGCAAGCAGGAGCTGTGCTGTGAGCATCGTCTGCTTGGGGGGCAGTGCCAGCCCCTTTGCAGGGCTCTTCTGGCCATTGCTTCAGCTACAAGCTAAATGCAGCTCTGTGCGAGCCTGCACGTGAACGTGTGCGTGTGCATAAAAATCCTTGGTAAGATAGTAAATAATAGGATTACAAATTTCATCAGACTCGAGTCTCCCAGGCATTCTGCTGGAGCTTTTCCAAAGCCTGGCAACCAAAGTGCAGGACTCGGCATGCTGAGCTCTGCGCCGACTTCAGCCTGCAAAGCACATTTCTGGCAGGAGGCTCCAGGCTCCCGGGAAGCCTCTGAGATACAGTGTGGCTGTAGATGCAGCTCAAACAATGCCCTTACATAGCAGATATTTTAAGCTTATGTGTTTCATAGAATATAAAGGAGACTACAATTTTACTGTCGTTACTGTTTTAATGGAACAAACGGAACAGAGCACAGTGAGTAAAAGGCCTCGCATGAGATGACAGTTAGGTTGTATTGCTGTCTCCCCTTTGTAAGAAGCATACCGTTGTCAATACTTTCCTGTTCTGGACTTGAGGATCAAGCCCTATTGTGAAAAACAGTTTAATTGAACTAAGATGGGAAAAAGTCATGTTTTTATCAAATAATCATTGCAGACATTGGCAGAAAGTTGTTTTTCTCAGTTTTTAGTCTTTTTTTATGTACCTGGTGCTGAAACACCCGTTCACTGAAAATTACTCCATTGCCGTTTACGGATAGGCTCCATAATCTTCATTTGACACCTAGGTCTTAAACTAGTCACATAGGCTGCTTTCGTAGGAGATATTTATGATGCAGAGAGGAAGATTAGCAGATATTTCTTTTCCTTCTGTGATAAGCGTGTAAAGGAAGTCAAACAACTTCTGCACTAAAGGAAATACAATTTTCACTTTGAGTTTCATAGTTTCAATTGACCTGTGGTCTTAAAATATTGTAATGTGTATTGATTGTTTCCAGAAAATTGCCCTTTTGGCAAGGTCTGCTAGCATGTTAAAATACAGCACCACTCTAGTAGTTCTAGGCTGGGATCTTATCTTAACACTCGTACTGAAAATCATGACGCTGAGGAGTTAGCAATATGCTTACGGGGTAATTTGAATCAATAGCTGATTATTCAGAAGAGATTTGCTAGCTCTGCGAAACTTTCAACCTTACAAATTGCTGAATGGTTTTATCATCATAGTGCCTCACTACCACTGGGAAATGATGCCAGGGAATCATGTTTGAACAAACCCTTTGTATTTTTGCTGCGGAGGAGTTAAACTTTTGATGCTATCCGTCCCCAATCTCAAGCAGTAAAGAAAACATTTCTGCAAAAATGATTTCTGTTCTGTGTAGGATGATGTATGACAGTCACTTTTTCCTAGCATCCTGCAGTAAGGCATTAAACACTGAGACTGATCTTCATACAGCCCTTTCAGTATCCATTATATCATCTCGGCGGTAGTATCAACTGCTCTGACATACCTTAGTTTAAATTAAGTGATATGCAAATATGCCACATACTAAATTACAGTAGCTCAAATGGAAGTGAGTTCTGAATATTTAAAATCAGAGGGAAGGGTAGCAGAGCTGTTGGAATAAGTGAAAGATAAAGCGTTTCTTAGATCCTTGTGAGCTTGAGATGAACCACTCGAGCTAGTCATTTACTTCTTTGGGATTTCTGCCCTTAGGTTTCTACAAGATATATTCAATAAACATGTATGAGTGTTACTTTTATCTTTAAGATCAGGAAAAAAAGTTACTGAAAGCAAAATGCATTGATCAAGGTGATTGAACAATTACTCATGGATACTCTGTGTGCATGCACATGTGTGCACATGCGTTGTGAATAGATGAAGCTACAGTCTTCTGTAGTCATAAGTTACTAATCAGCAGATCCTGACTGAAGAATTTGGCTAGAGAATTTTCCTGTCAAAAATGTAATTTCACTTAAGTTGGAGTATGCCACAGAAGAATGTCTGATTGAGTTAAGCACTCAATTAAAGAAAACAATACACCCAGTTCCAGAACGACATTTCGAAACAGAAACCTATTATTTAACTTAGTAAATGCTCCATTGAAAACTCTCAGATCTTTGACCAATGATTTCAAAAAGCTTCTTTTCCTCAGCCATGTTTTCCATGGGAGGTACTGCAGTGTCCTGCTCTGCTTACCCCGGGACAGATTTGATCCCTGTCTAACTGAGCTTCAAAGCAAGCAGCCCAGTCTGTGTTAACTTGCAGCCCTTCACCCTGACCTTTGTCCACTCCTCTGTATGAAGGGAGAATAATCAACTGTTTGTCCTGAAGGCCATTTCCAACCCAAACTGGTTAAGGCATCTAAATGTCTTGCAGTAAACTCAGCATCTGTGTGGTTTTACAGTGCAAAACAAACCACTGTTCCCAATTTCTAGTCACATAAGCATAGGTAAGGCATTTAAAAAGAGCTTCCCTATTCCACAGATACTATGTTTGCTGGAGTATAAAGCCATTGGTAGCTACTGGATAATATCTGAAACTCTTCTGCATCCCTAGATGTGCCTGTGTGTTTCTTGTTCTTCTTGGGGAAAATTAGATGTGGTATAGCTACTCAGGTGTTCATGCTATGAATGTGCTGGTTAGAGCCAAAACCTCCAGACCCAAGCTACACTTTGAAGATTGTGTTTGCATTAGCCTGTTAGAGTACACCAGAAGCAAAACTTAAGTAACAGAGACATCATTAACACAGGACTGCGTAGGAGTTGGCTCACTTGGTGGCCATGGCCATAGCTGGACACGAACAAAGGAGGTGACAAAGGAGCACCTCTGGCAGAGGTCTCTGGCAGAGATAGCACTCTGCTGTGGCTAGATGTGATGCTGGGGTACTTTGGCCAAAAATGATGCTGGGCATGGTGTGCTGGATCATTCTGGCACGGTGTTTGCTCTGTTTCTAGCACGTGATGGGAATCAGGGTGTCTCCTGTTTTCACATCCCAGTTTGTTGGCAATGATAATCAAATGTCACATGAATCCTTTTGATGGATGCGCACCCACCGTCATGAATGATGCATGTGCAACTTGGCAGGCAGTTATTCTTCCATGAGCTATTTGCCCATCCTGTGCTAGCCTTTTCCAATCCGTGCCATGTAGGATGTCCTCCTTTCCTTTTGCTTGGATCCTGCCACTCACTGTGCTTTTGTCCCTTTAGGACAAAGTTTCCTTTTTGTCACTTTAGGACAAAGTTGTGCTCTGAAATCCCACAGAGACTGAAGCCAGCAGGTGCTTGGTAAGCGGGTGTTGCATGAGGCAGAGAAGTAAAATCTGTGCATGGAGCTATTTGCATGGTGGCCTGTGGTGTTCAAGGCACTCCTCACTAGAAGGCTTTATATGATCTTGTCGTGGCTTGCGTACCTCCTCTTGAGAAGTCACCAGAGTTTAAGTTAGTTGCCAGTTTGATCCCCACCATGCTGTAAAGGGAAGATGCTGTCTGCAAGGGCCCTGGATGTGCTCCGTGCCAGGGTGTGGTGGCCAGGGCACGAGATACAGGACTCCTCCAATAAAGGTGCTGGAGATGGTGGAGGTCCTGTTCCACGTGGCCTTGGAGGGCAGAAGAGTAGTTCTGTGGGTCTCTGGCTTGCCAAATTTAGTTATTAACGCCATGTCTGGAAATTGAGACCCAACATCTCATAGAAGCTCTCAGAGACTGACACCCTAGCAGGGAACAGAGGGATTGCTTCAACTGTGGCTGAAGTGATTGGCTAAGGTCATCTAGACTCTGAAAAAGAAGATTGCATGTAACCAAACACTGGCATGCACGTGTCATTTGTGAGATGAAAGGTTTGCTCACAGGATGTGAGCTGTAAGAGGAGCAGTGATGCTTTTGTGAGAATTCTAAAAATGTTTCAGTCAGTGCCACAGTAAGGAGTTGTCCGAGGGCTGTAGCTAGAGAGACTGTAACACCAACATGTAGAAATGACATGCAAATTTTCAAAATGGAAAGAAAATAAAATCTACTGGAATCTTCTTCCAGTTATCAGGGAGGCTTTTTCTTGTTTTCTTTTAGACTGTGTGATTTTACTTAAAAGTAGACAGTTTTATGTTTTGGTTTGAAAGCTGGTATGGTCCTTTGTATAGTTAATGACTTTGGAAGATCATGAAGAAAAGAAGGAGCAAATGTGAAACTAGCCCTTTTGAAAGCCATTTTATCTACGTTGGATTCCCACTACCGAAGTAAAGCAGAGACGACATTGTCTGCTTCTGGCCTTGATAGACAATCCTAAACTGGATAAATAACCCGCAGTAATGCTTCTAGCCACCTTGTGCCATTTTTTCGTGGGTCCCACAAAGCTCAGTTTGGAAGTTTTGTAGAATTCTAGAAACGCAATGATTCTTCCAAGGATTGTGCTATATTTAGAATAAATTACTTCTTTGCTCTTTATCGTCTCCCAACAGGCAGCCCTGGAGTTAGTGCAAATGAGTTAGTACTTAAATTCTCTCTCCTTCCCCAGCATTTTCTGGCTCCAGAGATTTTGGAATTCACATTACCATGTAAATGCTACTAAAGCCTGTCATCTGCCTTTCCTGAACATGCAGGTATTCAGGAGTAGAATTACCAACATGGGTTGTTTTGGTTTTTTTGTTTTTTTTTTTTCACTTTAAGCTTTTTAAATCCGCAAGTAAATATAGTGATCTGATTTGCCAGCAGCAAGTATTCATGTAACTTGATCAAAACTCAGGATCTTTAAGCAAAACCACATGCCATTTAGCCTCTTTCTATGCAGAGGAATTTGGACAATTCATCATTATACCGAGGACCTTATTAGTTGACAGAAGAGTTAGCTGACCTCCTTCAAACAGGAACTCGACAGTTTGCCTGCAGGGAACATATTCCATGGAGAGCTGACTACTTAAGCACTTTCGATGTAAAGTAAAAACAATCTCTTGTGTCAGGGTATAATTCAAAGAACAAAGGACCATTTTGCTCAATTGTGCAGGCAGCAGAAGTTATTTTTGTCTCTTGCCTATCATATTCACATTGTACAAGAGAGTCGTTTTGTTGAGGAGCGGTTTGTTCTGCTGAGGCTCTTTGTGTAATTTTTGAACTGAAGACCACCACTGTGTTTTGGCATTGAAGCAAACAATGTACAATCTTGAAAACGGCTTTGTGTTTTGCCCTTTTTTCAAGGGGGCATGTGCTTGGGGTATGTGAATTGATTTATGGACCTTTTTGAGCCATTAACCTCCTTCAAGGATGCCTGGTAAATGGATGTGTAAGTAAGTGAAGGCTTTTATCAGGCATCTCAGTCCTTTTCCCGTTCAAGGAATGTGTGATTAACCTGCTTCGAGTGTACTCTGCCACAATGGTAGGTAGATGACCTGCCTATTTTCAAGGCCTCTCTTTGTGTGCTTTGCTGCCATCCCTTTATTGAAAGCTTTGCAGGTTGGTAATTTCCTCTGCTGCTGCTGCCTGTGTAATTAAAGAGGAGGAGAGGTCAAATGGCAGCCCCTCTGCATGGAGACACTTCTCCTGATAGCGTTACCGTGTACAAAGTAGGTCTGTGCTTTTAGAAATGGCTGTGCATCAGTAAGTTAATTAAGTAACTTCTCTTCATGGTGGGTTAGTGCCAAAGCAGTGCATCTTTATTCTAAAAGCTTGTTAAAAAGGGTGCAGCCCAAACCTTATCACTCCAATTTGGCAACCACTTGGAGCCCCTGAGTCTTACCTGACTAGCATATAAAGATAGGTATCTGCTCACAGTGACAAAAATAAAATAAGAATGAAAGTCCATTTCAGGAAGGTGTGAATACTAACACCTGAGTTCGTGCTCGAAGTGTGAAGTAATTAAAAAAAAATAAAAATCTGTTAATCGTCCTCATTACCACTTGAGGGTGACAAGCAGTGTGTAGGCTTTTGGTTGTTAGCACTCGTGTTGGAGAAGACTTCTCTCTTCCTCAGACGGGGCTGCCCATGACTCCATTCTTTGTTCTATTTTATTTTTCACTGCCTGATTTTTTCCCATTTTCTGTATACCCAAAACATCAGCCCAGTGCCAGGCTCCTCGATGCATGTTGTGAAATGTTTTCCAACCGTCCACGGCAGGAGCACAACCTGAGCCAGGCCCTGTATGTCTGCACAGATCTCTCAAGGGCTATTACTCCATAAATTTGTCATGTACTTCTTTGAAGCCACCTCAACTTTTAGCACTCACAGTGTCCTGTAGTAGGGAGCTCCTCCACTTAACTAAAAGTGCTGTGTAATCAACTATCTCCTTTTCTTGTGCTGTTTGTGGGAGGTGCAGGGGAGGGTGGTTGATTTTTGATCTGCTGGATTCCTTAGTTGACCCCTACTCCTGTGCTGGAGGAGACAGTAAATGGCTGTTCCTCGTTCACTTTTTCTATTTCACTCATGTTTTGCTCTTAAACCCTTCTGCTATATGCCTGCCTTTTATTTCTTTTCCCATCTGGAAAGCCTTACTCTACTTACTCTTCATTGTAGGAGTGAAACTGGGATCTTTGTCTTCAATTGCTATCCAGCTGACATCCAAACACTGCAAGAAGTGTCTGTCCTTTCTCCACTATTGTGCCTGTTTCTAGGATTTGCAAATCCTGGTCTCCCCTAGAGTTAGTTCCTTGTCTTGCTCTCCTTTCACACTTGGCCTTGGTTTCCTCATACCCAAGCAGATACATCCATAATTAGTTGATTATAATCCAGACACAGACCACTTCAATACCCGTTTCCCTACTTCATTACAACTAGTTGAATTTTTGTTTTCCTCCCTGCCACTGTCAATGTCGTTTCCCTCACTGTAGCCTTCATGCATGCCTTTTTCTCCTTCCAGCTTGTGATTGCAACCCTCGTGGCATCCAGACCCCACAATGTGACCGCGCCACTGGGCAGTGCATCTGCAACGAAGGGGTGGAAGGGCCGCGCTGCGACAAGTGCTCCCGGGGCTACTCGGGCTTCTTCCCCGACTGCGTGCCGTGCCACCAGTGCTTCGCCCTCTGGGACGTCATCATCAGCGAGCTGGCTAATAGAACCCAGCAGTTCCTGGATAGGGCTAATGCCCTCAAAATCACTGGAGTCACTGGCCCATACCAACAGACGCTCAACACTCTGGAGGAGAAGCTCAGTGAAATTAAAACGATCATTGCTCAAAATCCAGCTGCTGAGCCCCTGAAGAACATTGGGAATCTCTTTGAGGAAGCAGAGTGAGTACAGTTGCAGTTACGTGGATAAGCCTAGCGTGGGAAGGAACGGGAGTGCCAGCGGGCTGGGATTTAGTTGAGTGACTGATGCCCCCATGCGGAGCTGAGGACACCCCAACTCTGCTCCTCCAGCTGGGCAAGGTACAGTGTGGCTCCTCACGCTGGTGGAGCACCTCGCCATGCTCAGTGCTGGCAGCGAGCATCCATCCCACGAGTGGAAAGCTGGCAGGGGAAGGTAGGAGCAACACAGCTGCCATGCTCTGGGCTGGGGTTGTCCTGCTGCCAGTGCGCACCAGGCGGCTAATTACCACGGAGCCACTCACACTTGCCTTGTGCTCCCCCGGGGCAAAGGACAAACACTGCTATTATGTGAGAGAATGAAGAGGGGAGAGATTAAATTCCTGGATTTCCATGTGTAGCCGATGAGTTGGAAACTTGGGCTCCTTTTTACATTCAGAGCGTGTGTGTGGGAAACACCAGTTTTATAACAAGGATTGTTTCAATTTTTCTCAGGGTAGGAGCCTTGTATTTTGTTTTAGGGCTAAGCATACAAAAGAGAGTAGTTTATGCTTTTGGAGATGGGGCTGTTTAACATCAAGTGGGATTACAGATGCTTTCCAGCCCTGTGTGCAACTGCTCAATCTTGCTTGTGCATTGTAAAAGAGACTGCACAAAGCAAAGGGGCAAGGATTAAAGCACAAATGTCTCAATTAGGGATACACTTATGCCCTGCATCTCCCCTTCTCCAGCTGGAGAGCTGGGGGTTGCTGCTGTGTTTGGGCTCTGTGTGTGCTGAGGGAGGTCAGAGCAGCTGAGGAGCTGCTTTTCCCTAACGCACGCGTATGTGTGTGTGCATTGCTCCTCTGGCTGTATAGAAATACTGGGCTTTGAAGGGCTCCTAGAAAACAGCAGGTTGTTGGGCTATTGAGAGCTATAAATTGATCACAGAGCTTAAATAGTGCCTGATTTTTTCAGAATGAGGAAACACTGAGACTGGTGGGATCACCATGGATGGGAATAGCTTCCTATGCCCACTTCTGTTCTGCAGCTGCATTGATGTGTAACATACACTTGCTTTTCCTTTTAGGGTTATCCCGCTAGCTAAAGCCTGCTCTGTGGCTCACTGAGGCCATGCTGAATGCTGAGGGCGGGAAGTTTTCCCTTATAGCCCTGGAGAAACGGCTGGTGAGGAGGGATCTTTACAGACGAGTTAAAAGAACCCATTGTGTTAAAACTAAGGCTTCTCCCCCCCACTTCCTGAAGTTCTAATCTGTCCCATGAGCTCGTAGTAATCAAAACTGCATTTGTAGCTGTGTGGGATGGGAAGCAAATTATGTATGGATCATAGTAGTCAACTCTGACCTATGCAGTTGCCATGATACAAGAGCATTACACCAGTCCTCTGGAATCTGCCTCCAGTTAATCTTACACAAAGCAGCTGTTTTCTGAGCAATTTGGTGCTTTGAGTTTATAAACGTGCTGTAGATTAAGAAGTAGTTTTGTATGATAAAGGAAACAAAACAGTATTCTAGGTAGGCATGTTGTTACAAATCACTTACAGCCCCACCAAGGTCCTGCTGTGGGAGAAGCTCGTGGGAGAAGCTCAGCACAGCTCTAACCACCACTCTTCAGTGAAGTGAAGCACCGAGGCTTAACAACCCTTCCTCCTCCCTCTGTTGAGTCCCATGCCTCTGTTTTACAGAAAGCTGACAGCAGACGTGACAGTTAAGATAGCTGATGTAGAAGAAAACCTGTCGGCCTTAGCAGTGAAGAGCAATAGCACAGACACCGACCTGAGCGCGCTGGAGACAGACGCCAAAAGCTTAGATCGTGTCGTGAAAGAACTTGCAGAACAGCTAGAGTTCATCAAGATCTCTGATGTTCGGGGTAAGTGTTGCAGGGAGGGGAAGAAAGCACTGGGGTGACCGAAGCTTTAATGAGTGCATGGTTTTAAATACCAGGTTGATCTTCTAACTTGTAATAAAGCAGAGTTCCGAGGAGGGCAGCTTCTTTCTGTGCATTAGCAGAGTTGCTGATGCAGCAGGGATTTTGTTTTGCCCCCTCATCCCCTCTCTCTCCCTCTCCGCACTGCAAAGGCGGCTCAAGTTCTTGGGGCACAAAGGTGTCTTAAAGCCTCTTGATTAATACATTTTAGACAAGACACAACAGCTGAAAGTGCAGCAGATTCCAAGAAACACCTGGACATCTCCCTTGTTCTCCCAGTCTGTTAAATGGCGGTTTCTGGTTGGAAGAACTACCTGAGTCTTGCTGACTAAGAGCACACTGTAAGGACTCAGTTCTTCCAAGCTACCCAAACCTTGCATGCCCATTGGCACAGTGAAACGTGCCAAGAATTGAAATTTCCTGGAAAAAGAGGAATGTCACTAAATTCTTTGGAAATTTTGAAAGCTGACTTCATTCCAACTTGAAACAACGGATTTTTTTTTCTTTAAATTTCCTGCTTTGCAGGAAGTCTGAGATTGTTTCCAGTGAATGTGGGCTTTCGCAGAGTGAGGCAAGTAGGATGTAGAATGGAGGAGTCCCTGACTGGTGGCATTCTGCAGAGGAAAGCTGCCTGGAGATGCAGAGTGTGGCCACCCCTGCGGGGTCCCTTGCACCTGCTCAAGGCCCCTCTGGAGCTGTCTAAAACTAAGAGTTCCTTAAATCAGCATCTTTTGTCAAGCAGTTGTTTCTTAGGAAAGCTCTGACCAGTTTCCAAGCAGTGACTCCATAAGCCAGACATCCCAGGGCAAGCCACACGAACTAATGGGATAAGTGAATCCTTAGAAAACAGACTGTTGCCCTGTAAACCTAAAAGGCTGCATCTCCTTTTGCCCTCAGGGCAAGCAGAATGCAGTCACAGGGTCAGAGAAAGGCTGAACTTCAAAATCCAGCAAACTTGACACACTGTCAACCAAGCAAAAAAAAAAAAAAGAACTTTTCGCCCCCCCCACAACAGGCCAAATTCTGTCATCCTTGCAATGGCACTGAATATAGCTGCAAAGGCCTTTAAAGTTTCGTTTAACTTGATGCTCGTATCACTGACCCTGATGTGTCATCTGCCAACCTCGTAATATAAATTACTTCGCGTTACTTAAGAGATTTCTGAGCAACTCCATCTGATTTCTGCAGGGGCCTTGGATAGCATCACCAAGTATTTCCAGATGTCCCTGGAGGCAGAGGAGAGGGTCAATGCCTCCACTGTTCACCCCGATAGCACCGTGGAGCTGTCAGCACAAACGCGGCAGGAAGTGGAAGACTTAATCAAGGAGAAGGAGGCCCAGTTCAAGGCGAAACAGGAGGAGCAGTCGCGCCTGCTGGATGAACTCGCAGGCAAGCTGCAGAGCCTGGATCTCTCCGAAGTGGCAGAGAAGGTACGCAGCTGAGAATGGCGGGTGTAAAACCTGTAGCAAAAATAAAGTCAGGTTTGTGAAGAAGTGACGGGCAGGGAGGAACCATTGAGAGCTTGCCAGGTTGAGGTACAGTTTGTTCATGAGAAGTGCACATTTCTTGGATGACGGAGTACTTTGTGGGCTACAACAGGACTGTTTAATCCGTGTGCTCTGAGACCTACTGGCTTTCAGGCACCAGCCTTTCATGTTGGTCTCCCTCCTACTCTCCACAGCCCTGACAGAGCACCCATCTTTTCATCACCCCGGCTCTAACTCAAAGCCCTTTGCTGCAGACAGAGCTCCCACATGCAGAAAAGTGTAGTGAGTCTGCTGGATGGAGAGCCACCCTCTTAAGTCTGTCCTCAGTCCCTGTGCTTGCTTTCTCTAGGCTGCTCTCTTCCTTTTTGCAGCTCTGCAGGGAACACGCTCCGCCTATGCAGCGCCCAGCCAGGCAGCGCTGCTTCTTGTGCTGAGCTGCTTCTCGTGCTGACGGGCCGCCCTCCTCGGCATCTCTGCGTTCCTGTCCTCCTGCTTGAGACAAAGCAGAACTTAGAAGGAGCTGGAGTCAAAAGGGCATTTTCTCTGTTGAAGCTGCCTGCTCATCTGTAAATATGATCAAGGGTGGCTTTTTCCTGGGAGAGGCTGGGTGTTCCCTCGGTTTCACTTTGAAGTCGGCCAGCTGCATTCAGAGAACAATCCTGCATGAAGGCAGGCTGCAGGGGACTTGCTCATTAACTCCCCTGGGCAGGCCAGGCCTGCCTTAGAGGATGAGTTCTTCACCCGCTGAATTGTCCCCTCTCCTTTACAACTTCGGTCATCCCTCCCCCAGCCCTCCTTTTTTCTTAGGAGGGAAGAAAGAGACATCTTTTTGTTTAGCTTCTCTTCTCCTACATTCCTGCCTAACTGTTCTGGAGGATGAAAAAATCTTGGGTAGATGTTTATCAAGGCCATAAACACTGAGTTGCTTGGAAGTGTAATCACGAGACACCAAAAAAAAAACCAACCACCTTTTTGCTTTCTAGCTGCTGCTGGGTTGCATGCCAAACAGGTAAGAGGGACTCATTTACACTTCACAGGAGACAGCTGCAGCCAACTTGGCACAGCCCCTGGGTTTTCCCAGAGAGGTTTTCTTGGCTGCAAAGTATGCTGGTTAGTGACTATCATTTGGCAAAAGGGGTGGGGTGGAAGGGGAAAAGAACCTCACAAGAAAGGGGAATTTTTCCAATCTTCCCTCTGGCTAAAACAACTCCCAAGTGATTTCATTGTCCAAACAATTGACCAAGTAATGGATAATTCTCAGTACAATGTTGCTGATTGAAATAGTTTAGATAGAAAATTTCAGGGTAAAAACTATTTCAATGGGAATACATCCTTGACAAAATTCACAACCTGAAAAGTGTTCAGGAAAGATGAAATCAGAGCAAACTTTTGGTGGAGGACATGGGACAACTTTTTAAGGGAGATCAAAAAAAACACTTCCTGTTCAACTTGAAGCATTTCAGCTTCTATTACATTTCTAGAGCATTAGAGCAAAGGAAAAGATACACTTTCTTCCTTATAAAACAGCTTCCTGGGATGGCTGATTTTTCCTCCCAACAGTAGTGGAGACTGATTGCAAACAAAAGGCATAGAGACAGTAGCAGCTTCCAGCTTGAAACCAAAGCTTAACGGCAGCTTTCCAGCGAAAGATGGTGTACAGGAAAAGTAGATGATGAAAGCGAAGCGAGGCCTCCCTCATAACCTGCAGGTACTTCACCATCAGGGAGCTGCATATTTATAATCATGTTAAAGGCAGGAAGGTGCAAGGGGGGCACATGGTTAAAATCATGCTGGTCTGGACCTGCTGCAGGAAGCACCTCCAGCTTGCAGCCCTACTTCAGCTTCCTTCCCTGTGGTACTTGGCATGCTACTGCAAGGGGCAGAAAAAACATAGTATCCCTGACTCCATCCCCCTCGCAGCTCAGCAATGGAAGCAAAGCTGTGACTGTTTCCCTTGCCTACTGTGCCTCTGCAGACGTGTGGCACTCCCGTGGGAGCCTCTTGTGCCGAGTCCGAGTGTGGCGGTTTAAACTGTCGAACAGATGACGGAAAAAAGAAGTGTGGAGGACCTGGCTGCGACGGACTGGTGACTGTAGCTCACAACGCCTGGCAGAAAGCCATGGATTTTGACAGAGACATCCTCAGTGCATTAGCAGAAGTTGAGCAACTCTCCAGAATGGTAATATGCCAAATCAATTGGTAGATACTAAAAAAAAATAAAATCTTTTAGTCGTAACACAAGTTTAGACGCTAATTGACAAAGTATGTGCCTGGTTTACTTCAAAATACTTCTTTTCAGTTACGTAACTTCATCATGCTTGTAAAGATCCTCAGAAAGGGAGGCTGCTAAAGTGAATCGTCATGGATAACTCTAAACATTAGCCTGAGTTGTTTAAACTAGCATTGGTGGTATGGATCACGGCCAGCTTTTAAAAGTGTTCTGTGAGTTTTATGAGGAAAAGCATTCCTCATTACTATTACCTCTGACTCCAACTGAATTTTTGTTTTAAAACAGGCCTTAGCATAAGCAAATATGCAGTCAAGCCTTCCATTTTCCTCTCTTCAGGTTTCTGAGGCGAAACAGAGAGCTGATGAAGCAAAACAAAATGCGCAAGCAGTTTTGCTCAAAACCAATGCTACGAAAGAACAAGTGGATAGAAGCAACGAAGATCTGAGAAATCTTATTAAACAGATTAGAGACTTCCTAATGCGTAAGAACCTTATATTTAAATTATATTTTAATTCTAGGTTTGTGAAAACTTATCTTTAGCTCTGACTCATCCTCTAAGGGGTAATGCAATAGTTGTGTCCGCCTCCCCCCTCTTTCAGCCAGACTTAGCATGTATGATGAAATCTGGAAACAAGAGCAAACCAAGACAATAGGAAAGTGAGAGCAAACTGTGACACGTTGTGTTGGTTTCAGCTGAGGCTGTTGTACTGCTGTAGCTTGCCAAGTGTGTTCATAAGTTCTGGCTAGACAGACAAAGTACTGTTAAAGGAGAGGAAAGTCAGAACCTGCGAGTTTCTCTCTCTGTTAAGAAGGCAAGTAAAGGTTAAACGAGGGCCTTGTTCGCTAGCGAGCAGCAGCACAGCCAGCCTGTTCCTTCCCTGTTTGCACAAGGCTGAGTATAGTGTTAGCACAAATACATTTGTGTGCAGCTGTTGGCTTCGTTTCCAGTGGGCTTGTGTCTCCCCCATGGCCCCAGCGTGGTGTAGCTGATCACCGTCATCTTCAAATGGCTTCCAAGAGAGCTGTGCCAGCAGTGCCCATGGGCCTGCTAGCCCTCTCCCGAGAGGGAAGTTTCACCCTATGGAGGCAGTTTTAACACCTTGATTTTGTAGTGGAGGGTGTCCCTGCCAATGGCAGGGGCGTTGGAACTAGATGATCTTTGAGGTCCCTTCCAACCCAAACCATACTATGATTCTATGATTTTCTGCGAGTATGGGGGAGGAAGCTTTCCCAGGATTTTCCTTCTTAAGGGAGCCATTGGACAAGAATTTGAGTACGGAGGCTTGACACGGGAAAGCTTTTACTTCCATCTTTGTCATTTGTGTCCATTAGAAGACAGTGCTGACCTGGACAGCATCGAGGCAGTGGCTAATGAAGTGCTGAACATGGAGATGCCAAGCACTCCCCAGCAGCTGCAAGCCCTGACAGAAGATATCCGTGAGCGTGTAGAAAGCCTTTCTGATGTTGAGGTCATTCTGCAGCAGAGTGCTGGAGACATTGCCAGAGCAGAAATGCTGCTGGAGGAAGCTAAAAAAGCAAGGTATGCAACCCTGTTCTGTATTAGCTGCTTTTAGTCACCAAGAGCTTGAATGAGACTTACTTTCACTTCATTGTTTCAGAAAATGACGAGTTTTAACTTTCCCTGATGTAGATTCTCCTTCCTTCACTAAGGGGCAGAACTGGCCCTTGGCAGTGTATGACTACTGTTTTTTCCAGTTCAAAGTAAAAACATTTTTAGCATTAACATAGTTTTGCTCTACAGCAAAGGTGCAACAGATGTTAAAGTCACTGCAGACATGGTGAAAGCAGCACTGGAAGAAGCTGAAAAAGCTCAAAATGCAGCTGAAAAAGCCATCAAACAAGCTGACGAAGATATTAAAGGAACTCAAGACCTGCTGACCTCAGTGAGTTCTTTATGAGTATTTTTTAAGATATAGAAACAGCACCAAGTCTGATACTTACAAACTGATGTAAGCCTGTCTAGGGAAGGCTCTTGGGCACTGCGAAAAAAACAATCAGAGACTCCACTTGAAATGAATCTAAACCATTTTTGCCTTCACAAACTTTTGAGTTAGTATGGGAGAAGATGCTAGGGGCCCACTTGCTCTCAAAAAAAAAAAGGCTTTTCTAACCCAGTATCCTGCACCTCTGAAGTTAAATGAGCAGGACTGTAGTCCTCTAACACAGCAAGTGTGGCAGGATCCCTGTAAAGTCCTACCTGTCACCACATTGGCAGTGTATTGGCATAGCCATGCCTTCAGCGTCACTCACCACTGCAGCACGAGACTGAAAAACGAGTGCTGGATTAAAGTGGAATGGCTGTAGTCTTGTCAGGTAATGTATTTTCAGACTTTATCTCATAGCCCTCATGAGACCATAGTGCTGACTATACCCAGGAAGCCTGGCCAGCTTAGAAGATATGCAGCTTCACAAGTCCGTTATTAAATGATGGAGTCAAACGTCTGAAGTTTTGCCTGGATTAGGCAACTCTTGCATGCATAATACAATCAAGTAATTTTTAATCATGTTCCTTATGTTTTTGCAGTCCCATATGTATCCCATCTTCAAGCAGTGCGTGCTTTCATCTTGACTGCAACTGGCCATTTTTAACAAAACTAAACCACTGGTTTTTGTATCAGATCTGTGGACATGAACTAATTAGTTGATCACAGCTTATCCAGAAGGCTTACTGTTATATTGTCCTTTGGAAATGTAACTGTTGTCCCTCTTTGTTAGATCGAATCTGAAAATGCAGCATCTGAAGAAACATTGAACAATGCTACCTTACGCCTGTTTGAGCTAGAGAAGAGTGTTGAAGACCTTAAGCAAAAGGCTGCTACAAATGCAGAGAATGTAGACAATATAGAAGAAAAAATTACTACTGCAAAACAAAATGCTGAAGAAGTTAAAAAGGTGAGAAGCTCAGGAAAGATGCTAAGGGGGGGGGAAAAAAAGCACTTAATGCACTTACCAAAGATAGGTGCTTTTTACGTATTTTGGTACCAGATACAGACAGAAAGTACTGGGAAGTTTTCAGCTTCTAAAATAGCTGCAGGAAACCTGTCACACTGCCACACTGTCAGCCTTTCATAGATTTGTTTCTGTCTCTCAGGTTTACTATCTGCCACAGGAGAACTGGTAATTCTTTTTCCCCTCCATAGAGTATTTATGGTTCTATGACAATGACAGGTTCAGCAAAAACAGCCCAGAATTTGGCATGTACAGAATCAAGCGACAAGAAAAATCATTAGCTCTATACAAAACCAGAGTAATTTCTAAATATCAGAGATGCAAAATTTGCTCTCTGACCATATGTCATTGCTCTCAATGTCTGGTATACGCCTTTGTAATAGCAAAAGAATGCTCATTAACAAAACAATTGACAAATCTGCCAAAGGAAGTTTCATTGCTCCGATCTGCTGTCTATAGTTAGCCTATCAGTCTCCAGAGAGGCATTTTCTGCCAGGAGAGATGTATTATCCATCAAATCAATTTATTTCTGAACACTAAGTAGTATTTCAGATGGCTGTCAAGTACTCACAAGAGACTTCCGATACTGCCACAGCTTGTTAACGTGCTTATTGGTTGAATTCAGTTGGGTCATAGGACTTTTTAATCTTAACCTCGGCAGAGAAAAGCACAGCTGAGCAACCAGCCTCGTGACTTCCCTAGCACCTTCACCTACACAAACTAGGCAGCTGTTCTCATTACTGAGAGTAACAAGGGTATTCCTCCCCAAATGCAAGCATTCAGCCAGGACCCGTGCCAGTTCCTTACCATATGCAGCTTTCCAGCTGTACTAAGGGCCAGGGCTTCTGTTAGATACAGAACTGTGTGACTTATATCCTGTAAACCCTTGCCAAGTGTTGGTATTAAAACAGTAAAACAGCCACAGATCTGCAAAAAGGGCAACCAAGGAGTCTTCACCCCAACTCTTGGAGTCCTGAATATTAAGTAGGAAATACCCCAACCCTGATTGTGCTTTTCTTAACTGAGCTAAGGGAGGAAATGCGAACTGCCACTGCGTTGTCTTTTGAGTGAGCTCCATCTTGTGCTTGAATCTGGAACAACAGGTCCTCAATACCGAGCTGAACGACAAGTACAGGACGGTGGAAGATCTCATTGCCAAGAAGACAGAAGAGTCGGCTGATGCTAGGAGGAAAGCCAGCATGTTGCAAGATGAAGCTAAAGCCTTATTGGCTCAAGCAAACAGCAAACTCCAGCTGCTCAAAGGTAAGGCTGTTCTGAGGAGGTAAGTCGTCATCTTAGAATACGAAGCAATGTTGTGCCGTTAAACCAACCATTCATCAGCAGTAGGGAAAAAAAAAATGGAAGTTAATTCTTTGTTACTGAGGTTTGATCTGCTTTCCTTATTCTTATGGACACAACATAGTCTTTGTTTCAAAAGATTTCTGTAAAAAAGCTGAAACTTAGAGTGAGACACAAATTCTGGTAGGGCACCTATCACTGCCCCAAGAACCACTACAGGGAAGGAACATAGCTACCATGCTTAGGACAAGGACTAACCCATTCAAGCAAGACCCTCATCTACTGTACCCCACCCTTCTCCCCACCCTGAAAGCTATTAAAACAACAGGATATGTCAGTTCCAGTTTACAGATTAATTTAACATTTCCCTTTGCCGATTAAAGTTGATTGAAACAGGAGGGGGCAATCTGCCCATAACTATCACGGAGGGAGCTAAGCTCTCCGCCTGTTCTTCCCAGGTCAGGAACTCATTCTTCCCCTTAGCTGCTCCTGCACAGTTACAAAGATTCACTGAATGGTCTTAACTGTAACAAGCCAAAACATTTCACTGTTCTGTAAAAGCCACCATACAGCAGAGAATGACAATTATTTTCAACGTGAACCAAAGTATACTTTTGGAATCCCACTTACGGAAAATTACTTCCTAGTTGCTTTATGTCCCAGTGTAAAGGAAACAAAGAGGTGCCATTACAGACTCTCTTTTTTTCCCCCTAATCAGATTCTCTTCCGCAATAAAAATAGATTTGAATAGTAGTTTATCTGTAATTATAATGATTTACATTTTACTGCATTGAAACACTCCTAATTAAGCTGGTTTTCCTCTTCCTTTGCTCACAGACTTGGAAAATACATATGAAAACAATCAAAAAGTTCTGGAAGATAAAGCCAAGCAGTTGGTGGAGCTGGAAGAGACAGTTCGCTCCCTCTTACAGACAATCAGCCAGAAGGTTGCTGTTTACAGCACATGCTTATAAATGGGAGCAGGAAATGCTTGTGTTCAGGGTGGATTTTACGAGTATTACACTAGTTCTTTTTGACATCACACTGAGATGTGACCAGGTTTTATATTGACTTTCAAGTCACAGACCAAAGACAAGTTACTTTTTGATGTTGAAAATAAACAGTACTTTTGTATCACTGTATGTACCCAGTATGACTCATTAAGTTCCTTCCTATTTTCAGTAGCTGAAATAGTAAATCAATTAATCCTTTAGCAAGTCTCGTTTTTAAACTGGTTAAGAGACCTAATAATAAAATCTTGGCTCCAACCACATAATTCTAAAGAAGGGCTTCAGTTACTCTAAAATATAGGATGGTCACTCAGAACAAAATTGCAAGCGAATGAAGAAATGCCATCCTTGTGCAGTTAGCTAGCATCTACACCACAGTACTCAAGAAAGATTATCTACCCTCTGCAAGATATCCGTTTAGGCTTAACACTAGTTTCATGTCACTGCTTGTGAAACACTCTAGTTGTGAAGTGGGAACAGAGGTCTGCACTGAAGGGGTGAGTGTGGTTTACATTTCAAGCACCAAATTGAGGTGATAAATGAAGCTTGGAGGATCAAGCCTCTCAGTGAAAGGAACTACAAAAGTTCACAGGGCACTTTATCAGTGAAGGAGCTGCACACGGACGTCGCTCTCAGACAGCAGCTCATGCTTAACGCAAATAAGACTTCTTTCAAAGTGCAAGAGTAACATCCAGTTCACCATACCTTAGCTGAAAGTTACGTAGAACAGCACACCTTCAGACAACTGTATTGTACTACACAAACGGATGTACAAAACATTCATCAGCTACATAAATTAGCATCCAAAACTGCTAATGCATTTTACACATCCTGACTGCAAACGCTGACCTGAGACGTACATCTGCATATATACTTTGATCAGCACCTTACCTAACCTTGACTAATGTCAGCAAAAGTTAGTCAGGACAACTCTGGAAGA